ATATTAAAAATTCATGAAACTAGATACTTTTGTGACATAAATGTATTGTTTGTTATAATCAAAACAAGTTGTGCTAATCATAGGTCAACACAACATACCTCGGTTGAAGATATTTTTTCATGTAGGAGATGAAATATTGGTTGTCCGCTATTACTAGATGCAACTCAGCACCGACAATGATCTTTATCATTCTCATTCGAACTTTCTTATCTGAATGCATCCACGTGCAAAGTATCGTAGAAGTACAACCGACAGTTGGACTACCAAATTACAATTGAGTTTGAGAGGCACCAATAAGCCGATGTTTGGCCGCACATGCTTTGTAGTAACGATTGAGCTATGTGGTTTCAATGTCATTTTGCCATGACAATCGTATTTGACTGTATTTACATACTTCTTTAGACTTTGCGACTCCATCGACCCACGGCCCGTTTGAATCAATTTAAATCGATCCCAATATTTTGCGTCGTATTCCCCTTTCACTTTCCTCTTACATCGGGAATATGTAATTCCTCTTGTTCCGTTTCGAGAACATCAACATCATCCAAATCAATTGAATTACTACTTCCATATTCATCCAAATTTGGAATATTTTCGGGAATTAGTACTTTGTTAAGACCGACAAATTTATTGTGAAATTGACTTTGCGGCGTCAAAGGTAATTCATCTCCAATTCATTTGTGAACTGTGATGAAATATATAGAATATGTATTATAATTGTACAGTAAGTAAATAAAGAGCATGGAAATAAAGTATAAGATTGCAATTATAAATTTGTAGTGTGATAATTGATATTGAATAATTGAAATTGAAGTAGAATGTAGTATATTGTAGAAGATGGAATAGAGTAAGAATTGTTGTTGGTGTGTGAAGTTTTTTAAAATGAGTTGGAATCTTTATAGAGTAAAAAAAAGAAAAAAAAAAGTGGCCAAAATGGCCACTTTTGCAAGTTCAATGACTATTGCAAATAGTCACCGAACTTGTACGTGAAAAGTGACCGTTTTGGTCACTATGGTGACGAGCCGAGTGGATTCAACTTGTCTGGTGAGCCGGCTCACTCGACTCATGTTCGGGCTAGTACTTGCCGCCCATGAGCTGGTTTTTTACGAGCCACTCGACTCGTTTAACATCTTCTCTTTAGTGGTAGGATAGATCATCTGAACAATATTTCAAAAGGAATGAGATGAGATGAGAGATCTCACATCAGCATCCCATGTATGGGGACGCTAGAATTAAATTCATTTAAAGTTAAAAAAACGTTACTCGAAGTAAATATTTAAATTATTTGGAGTTTAAATAATTGTTTTTACTGACTGAATAATTTTTACTTAAAAATTAGAAAAAAAAAATAACTAATTCGAACTCTGTTAATTTTTTAAGCTTCTCTAAAAGTACTGGTAAACTTTTGTTACGGACTTTATGTATAAGTAAATTTTGACAATGAAGTAAGTTCACTTTTAAAATAAATAATTTATTAATTTTAACTTTAATCAATAAAAGATAATTATTTTGAAACTTAACTATTTTTAAGTAACCTCAGCTAAGCATGCAGTCAATTGCAAAAATTGTTATACTGACGAGCATGTTTTCTGTTGCCGCCGTACGCGGCGGAAGTCTACAGTGGTGCAGTGTCAAAAACGTCAACAAACACGGCTGTTTTGCGTGGTTGTGATATGTCAAACGCCACCTACAGCTGTCAAAGATCCACTGCTGGAATGTCATGCATGACAATTGCCATGAAGCTGGTTTTAGAGAGAGAATGAAAAAGATTTGAAGATAGATTCTTAGATGTTGACTCCTTTTAACTTTTACTGCATTGTCAGCTCCAATGTAAGTTACTTATTTTCAAATTAATTCTTATTTTTCTATCAAATAAGTAATCTTAAACTAGAAATTTGTATGAAATCATTTATTGTAGTTACACAATTAGCGTGTTTAAGATGACTTACAAAAAATAAGCATCCTAATACTTATTTGTTTAGATAAGTTGTGGTTACAAGTATCTTAACACGCTACTTAAAAGCAAAATCAATATGATAAATTATTGAAATGTTCTTTATCTTTTTTCAATACAAAAGGCTACATTTTTTATACAAAATAAGGGTAAAATAGTACTTTTACTGGTTGAAAAAAAAAAGCTAATTAAATATGAACCTTTGTGCTTATTTTTTATAGCTTATTTCCACCCTTTGGCTAAAAATAAGCTTTTTATTTCATGTTTGGCAATTTTTTGGAATTTATACAAAGCATGTTAGACCAAAATTTATAGTTCACCTTAAACATGTTCTCATAATAATGCCC